ACAAAGTTCGTGGTTTGCCGTTTGTCGAGGTTTAGCCAACTAGTAATTCGGAACTGAGGCGTTAGTACACAATCGGTTAGGTTTACCTTAAATAAATTATACTCAACTCTTGGTACTATAACTACTGGTTTTTTATTCAACACATTATAATATTACAATCAGAATAATGACACACTCGTAGCTCTCAATATTACAGACTGACGATCGTGTGAACTCGCACGTTCACTCACATATAATATGCTAAGTGAGCATAACCGTGCGGCACGTGCAGGGGTTCAAACAAGTAGAATTGTTCACCATAAAATGTATTATAACATGCTTTTAAAAATCTTTGGAATATTATTAATTTAAGAATTTAAAAAAAAAAATGATATCAATCGCTGATTTATTTTTTTTTTAAATTAAATTAAATTTAACGTTAGGCAATTGAGATTGACAAATAATAATATAGAGTATAGTATACAATACTAGATTATATATTTTGTTTAATAATCAGTTTTATAGTTTATTAAAACTAATATCAATCATAAAATAATATTAAAATTAAAAATTAATTAACTATCTATTCAATTCTTTGATTCGCGAAAATTATAATGAAGACAACATACTACATACAAGCAATACTGATCATATATTTCTGGTCTCTCACTAGTCTCACGACACGAACTTGTTCTGTGGAGTACAAATATAAATAATAAATAAAAACAAAACAATCTTGTGAGATTTTAAATTTTAAAAAAACTGCATATTATACATTTATACGTATGATAGGTAGTCAAAATAATGATTTGATTTTCTTTGACATWAATTTTAACCTACAAAAGTACAAATTGTTGTGTATTTTTTTTAATTAAAGCTTTATTTGTACGTGATGATTACTAAAAAAAGTTTATGTATAGCCACATAAGTAAGAGAAAAGCTTTGAATGTTTCGAATAAATGTGGAGATRCTTTTAAAGTGGTTCAGTTGATAAATATAATTTGTAGAATATTAAACCTAAAGAGTTATATGATATGGAATTTAGATATTCCCAAAACTATTTGAAAATGTCACAACGTTGTTTATTTTTACAGGTATGGCAATGAACTACAAACAATATTTAAATGGTATATCTAATTACTAATTAGTATGTAGTATATAATATTAAACATTAAAATCGATTGTAAATATGTTATTAGTAACTGTGTAGTGTCAATGTGGTGTCTATTATACCTATATAACAGAACGTKGTATGAATAGYGTTAGAAATTTAGAATGCTATTATAATTTTTTTTAATTAAATTTAATATGATATAATGAAATTAAAAAAAAGTAATTTGGGTAAGTGGTTTGGTTTAAGTTATTGATAGATTAAGGCAGCTATTCAGTAAATGCATTATTGATAGAATCGGCCTTAGCAGTAATTGAACATCATAATATGGGTGAGCGCATGTACATGTTGAGCGCGCCGGGTACGGAACAATAATAGTCCGTTCGCCCGATCGTTAATTGCTTCGTGCGTTTACTCACACACCGACCGACCTGTGTGTGTCTGTGTACCTGTATTAGCAATTCGATAGAGGTGGACGAGATCGCCGAGCAAAACTATCGAATGGCTAGTGTGTGGTGAATGTGTAAGTGTGTAAGTTAATGTTGGTGTGTAAGCTTAAAATTATTGGACAAGAGGTAATAAGATTATAAAAAGAGGTTATAAGATGATAACACGGTTGCTGGTAAAAATGAGTTGCTGTATTGTACACAAGATAAATAATTGTTTACTGATACAAGAATAAATAAATCACAGCAACATCAAGGTATACAAATATGGGTAATAATATTATGGCCCTTCTGGCCCAACAAAGTATATATATATATATATATATGCTAGCTTAAGAGCTGAGTGTAATATAATGAGTATAACCTTATGTGCGGTCCTTATGACCAAACAAATATAAGTATAAAAATAATGTACGGCCCTTGTGGCACGACAGAATAAAATAATATACGGCCCTTTTGGCCTAACTAAATAATTGTAGCTACAAAAATATAATAATAATAATACAAAAAAWACTCACAGATATGTCAGTGCTCGGCTGGCCAGCTGCTATCTATCCTATATTGATAATAATAATAATAATAATAAAATAGTACCCGATACACACACTATATCGAAATAATTATTAAACGGTGGCGATTAGCGCCGAGTGCCGACACAAGTTTATAAAGGGTGTAGCGATTAGCGCCGTACAAATTTATATAAAAAGTAGCTACTCGAGCCGAGCATAAAAAAAACAATTTTGGGTTCGTGACTGTTGACTGACGACAACGGACAGAAGAAGACAAGACGGCGGCCGTGTTAATTATATTCGCTTACCAGCGGTGGCCGATCGCACGTAATCTCCATATTATATAATAAACGATATTCACAGCTGACACAGTTAAACGAAAATAAAAACAATAAATATAACCATGAAGACTAGAGATAAGGAGGCCAAACACTGCTGGCCGCCTGCACAAAAATTGGTTCTATAAAACATCGCACACTAATTTCTCCACCAGTCTGCGTGGCGGTCAAATCCGAGGCTGGCTCGGAGTATAATTAACCCGTATAAGATAGGGACATACTCGACTTTATTACAT